TGCATCAGAACCTTCCTCAGATTTTCGCCGAAACCATATCGCCGACAGTATTATGACTTTTTGACATTTTTTCGCCGAGATCATGTCGCCGACGAACTTTGGGTCATTTTGGGAACAATCGCCGAAACATTATTTTGGATTTTCAACATGCTGGTCAAAAACTCTATGGATTCTGGTTTTAACTACGTTTGACAATATTGGATGCCCTACATCGTTTTCGAGAAGTACCTCATGTGGCTCCTTTACTAATCTAACGATCTAGGCTGGTTTGCATGTTTCAGGATTCAGTTCCTGCCGGATCATATAATGATCCATTCTTGTCTAGTGTGTGTGTGTGTGCTGTGTGACGCGTGAGATGTGCTTCTTAAAAGCTTGGCTATGGCCATGGGCCATGGCTATGGATATTGCCTTTTGCTACCTCAATTTCATCTACTGACTAACTACCACCAACTAAACAGTGGTGCACCTGCAGCCCAGTCACCAGCAGCGTCCCATAGCTCAGGTTCAAAGCTTCTTGCTCCCTTTTGTTTAAGCCAATGCAAGGCCCAGGGTTCATCCTGGTGAACAAAGGAGGGTGCCCCGGCTTGCCTAGGCGCATCTTCCTCTTCCATTTTTTGGCCAACTCCTTCACTGCCTCAGAGCGCTGCCCATCCTGGAAAGTGGCAAGGGATGAAGGGGACGGGTTGTGAAATTCCAAGACGAAATTTTGAAATCGCTCTGGGAAAAAGTGCGGATTTTTAGAAATGGCTCTGTGATTTTTAGAAATGGCTCTGTGATTTTTAGAAATGGCTCTGTGATTTTTAGAAACAGCAGCGCTGCTCCCCCAAATAGTCCTGTGAAGGCGCCGGCTTCGTCACGGAGTCACCGCAAACTTCCCTCACGTAGGCTCGGCTCTTTGACACAAGTCCCCGGCCCTGGGACCGAAAAATTGGCAGCACCTCCTGCTGCAGCACATGTTCGAAAACATGCTTCACACGCTCAAGGGAAGCCAGCTTGACATCGACCAATACGAAGTAGGCCCTGGAGCGACTCTGCGGCAGCCCCCAGTCGCGTGAACTCAGCTGATGCTGTTTGGGGAGAATGACGCAAGTGGAGGTGCATGATGCATGATGGCAGTAGTGATGCTGATAATGAGGATGATGACGACGACGACAATGATGATGATGGTACAAAAAAACGGTGATTTTTTAATGAGAGAAGCAAACTGATTGTCTATTGGTGATTCATGATTGATTGATTGATGATCATGATGATGATGAAGATGATGATGATGATGATGATGATGATGATGTTTCAATGATGTTTCAATGATGTTTCAATGATGTGTTGATGGCAATGATAATAATAATGATGATGATACTGATGATGATGAGGATGAGGAGGATGACGACAATGATGATGAACATGATGATGATGATGGTGATGATGGTGATCAGTAGTGATGATGATGATGATGATGGTGATGATGATGATGATGATGCTGATGGTGTTAATACTGATGATAATGGTGATCAGTAGTGATGATGATGATGATGATGATGATGATGATGATGATGATGATGATGATGATGTCTTGCCCCCTTGAAAACAACCAAATTGAAAGCCACTTCATGGACCTGCTTTCAGAGAGTGAATCTCAACACTGGGCAAAAAGAGGAAACCAAGTCTCAAAATTTCAGAAGTAAAGTGATCACGCAAAAATCGTTGGATACTTGGGCATTGTAGCATGTGTCTTCTGCCAAGGCGCTCCAACTGCAGCTTGACCAAGTGGTAGCCAGGGATTGTGTCCAGGCCAATGTATTCACCGGACGGAAGCTGTCCATACAACATCCATTCAGCAGGTGTCTGGCAGAGCGGGGGCTGGCAGAAGGTGGCTGAAGTAACAAAGTAAGACACAATGCTCCACTGGGAAAGTTCTGTAGTTTTTGTAAAGAAGAATTTTGTCTTGATAGGGTGCAACCTCGAATGAACTTGCAAAGTTGTTGCGCCACTCTTTCTTGATAGCCTTTCTGAAATTCTGGACCTGATTGCAACAAGGAATCTTGACTTGATTGCTAGAGTTTCAAGATGGTCACTGAAACAGGAATGTCAGGTAGCAGTTGCCTGAATGAAGAAGTATGAAGCCCACACACTCCAAATCCAAAGCCGCTGGGAAGCAATGTTTTTGTCTACCCGCACTGACGTCCAAAATGCCTGGAGCCCTCGAGCCTCGAAATTGCATTAATTATCCGGGAATACAAATGACTCAGATTGGCACGAGTGACTGGGCACGGGCGTCACAAATCAATGCGTCGCTGAAGGATGGTTCTTGCAACGTTTGCAAATCTCAAGAGGCACTGCGTGCCTCAGATACTTTTCACTTCAAACATTCGGACAGACATGAAGGAATGAAAAGTGACTACATCACCAGTGCATATGGGTTTTGAAACTGCAGGATTTGTGACTTGACTTGTTGAAAGTCTTGAATGCCAAGAAGGCGCAAACAAACACAACAGCTAGCCAGGGCCAAGACCTTCATTGTAGGGCAGGTTTCAAACCGATTAATGGAAAAAAGCGAGGGCCAGGGGACTGATAGATCAAATTCCTCATAGCCCTATCAAACCATGACTTTACCATTGAACATATGGAAACGTGCTAAATTGCAATCTGACAACCAAAAAAAGACTGAAGTTATGTAAGGTATGCAAAACTTCAATCAGCTCACTCACCCCAATTTTGGAAAAATGATAAAACAGGAGGAAGAGTCTTTCCAGCACACTTCGCTTTGAAGTGGATTTTGCCTCTGATGACATCCTCTTTGATACCAGTGCCCAAATTCACGTAGACAACTGCTGCTGGCACAGGGGAGGACTTGTCCGTGTCCTGTCCCTGTTGTTTTTTCTGGGTCTGCTTCTCACATCTTGGACATTGGCCCTGGCTATGGACTGCATGACGGGCATTACTCGGCAAGCTTGCTCCGCCGCATGCTGAAGCAACCTTTGTGGTCACCACTGATTGCCAAAGAAAAAGTAACCATTTGCTGGGAACCCTTGCCTGACCTATCCCAATACTGCCAATAATATATTCATTGATTGTATTGATTGTCGTTTATTCTGTATGCAAGCATGACTGATGCTATCTTAAGGCTCTGTCTATCAGTCCGTGGTCAGCCCACTGCTCTCACACTTCTATCTATCTATTCCACTCCCATCTGGCTTTATATTTCTTTCCTTTCCTGTTGTCTTTGTCTACCTAGAGAGTTACCTTGGCTTTTTCAATACCTAGCTACATACCTACCTGCCTGCTTACCAACCTGCCTGCCTGCCTGCCTTGCCTGCCTTGCCTGCCTTACCTGCCTTTCCTACCTTCCTACCGATCTACCTACCGACCTATGCCTATGCCTATGTAGTGGCGGTTTATCCATCCTATTCCTATTCCTACCCATCCGCCAATCCAACTATATGGCTTCGGACTCATCATATCTACCTACGTCCCATCTACCTACCTACCTATCCCTTGCATGGCATTTATTGGTGCCTTGCTTCCAATCTGAATACTTCAGCATCAATACCAAAGTCAACGCAAAAGCTGTGCAGAAAGGTTGCTTTCGGGGCATGGAGACAAAAGTAACAATACAGTGTGGCAGTACATTACATATTATATATTGTATGTATCTGAATGTATCACTGAACTTTATTAACTGTAGTAAAACTTGTGGCTGGCCAAGGTGATGCTAGAAACACACATGCCAGTCAAAAAGCCAAAGAGGGTGAGCATCACAGCAATCCCCAGCAATAGATCCATGGCCAATGGCGTTGAGAAAAGGCAAACTTTCTTGGGACTGGGGTTTTGAAATGCTTTAGCCTGCAGCGGTGTGAAGATGCGAGCAAGTCCTGAGGCCATTGGCCATTGGTCTGTATGTTTTCAATACTGGACTCCGGACACTATTCTTGAAAGCAGGGCCCACATGATTGCCCACTCCATGCTGTTCCAGTAACATGATTGCATGTGCTGTGCGTATTTACAATGGCTCAAACCGCATACCTCACATCTATTTTTCTCACTGACGCAGGCTGATGTGCACCAAATCTGCAACCAACAATATGTGCCTGCATGCTGCATCAGAAAAACACATAACAGCATACAGTCGTGCATCGGGCCAATATCACGGGTTCACGTGATAATGAAAACTACAAGATTAGCAAGCCAGTCAAACATGGAATTTGATGGTTCTGCGAGTTCTGTTCTGTGACGTGTCAAAAGTCAGGTCTCTTTGGCTTTATCCAATTCTGATGAGCTGTATCATTGTATCATCATATTTGATGAAGCCCTGCCCTGGACCCCGGCAATTAGTGGAGGGATATTTGCACATGAGTAATCAACAGCATAAATCTTGAATCGATTAGAAAATGTTTCACCAACTAGAAGGTTGGGTAGCCTGGTGTGAATGTCAATGAATTTCAAGGGGTGAGCATGGAGCAGTGGGTCACCTTTGTCTTTCTCACTTGAAGCCACGTTTGTCTCTGATTGATCCCTTCAGGAAAACCCTGAATGTTTTTATTGCTTGGGCAGGGCGGCTAAGGCGCCAGCCAGGGCCTCTTGGAGGCTAGGCTCTAAATTGCCCACTCGCTGCAAAGCATTCATTTGTTTTCGACTGTGTGCTAGATAGCCATCTCTGGCAATCAAATGCTGCAAACACATGGCATGGACCCAAACACTGGGCTTGACAGTGCTGTGGTACCAGCAGAAACGTACGGATCCTTTCTGAATCCTGCCCCCACAGGAAAAACAGGTGGACCTGGCAGAAGCAGCATGCGAGATGTCTGACACGCCAAGGTCTTTGGAAAAAAACGTTTTACCAAATTTACCTTTCACTGCTGTGGATGCCTGGGCTTTGGGCATCTGCTGTGAAGCCAGTTGTTTGGATTCTGCGTGAGACCTAACAGCGCTTGGGCCAGTTGAGGATGAAGAAGGCAAAGATCCCGGTTGGTCAGGCTGGTCAGGCTGTGTGGCCTGCAAATTTACCTGAGCAGCAACAAGGGCATCATGTCTCTCAACGATGGCGCGGGCCCTCTTTTCCTCTTTGACAACATCATCTGAAAAGGGCAGGGGCTCCTCCACCTCCCCACCGCTCTCTGCGTCTGATCTTGAGCTACTTGAAGAGGAGGAGGAAGTGGAATTGGTGGACGAACTTGAAGGCAATGGGCCTGGGCTTTTTGAGCCCAAAGGTTGCTCACTCTCAACGGCAACTGGGGCGTCCTGCTTCTGTTTCCTGTTTCCTTTCTCTTTGTGGGCTTTGCTGCGCGCTTTGCCCTGCGTTTTGGCTCTCTCTTTGATTTCAACCCAAACGGCAGCCTCAGCTGCTTCTTCCGGACATGAACCTTTGTAGATGGGTCCAGCTTGAAAGTATTGACAGAAGCGCCCTGGCATATTTTCAAAACATCATTTTCCAGAACCAACGCGTACTTGAACACCTCAACTGTCACACATTTGCTCTGTTCGTCCACAACCATTCTCTCAAAAAGCTGGTGGCTAGTCCAAAACAATCGTGGGTCTACCAGCTGAACCTCATTTGTGACTGGATCCGCTGTTGCTTCGATCAGAATGTGTAACCGTGGCTTTTTCATGCAAACCCCAAGAAACCCTAAGAAGTCATCTGCCTCTGTTTTCAACAGCAGGAGGTGGCCAACTTTCAAATGATGATCAATCAGTGCCCTGCCAAAAACTTCTGGCAGCTTTGAAGACAACATCCGGCGCTTAGACTTCTCGCACACGCCTCCAAACCTCGTATGGCACAGTTTGTCACACGTAATGCAACTTGGGTCATCCTGGACTTCATCTTCCCTGTCAGTTCCCTGCTCTGTCATGGGCCCCTTGTCAGCGAGCATGGGGCTGAGGGTAGTGGAATGAAAGCGCTCTCTAAGGAAGGCCTGACAGTCAGCAAGGGGCGTCTCCATGTCAATGAACTGCTGCTTTAAAGCTCCAGTACCTTAGATGGCTATCAGTTCAGCAAGAGCCAGGCACTAAGTGTGCACAGGTGAGAATGTGACTGCGAAAAATATAGCTAGGCTATGTAGGTCCACCTCGGTGCTGTGGCGGTATACATACAGATATCCTCTTTGCAAGACTGAAAGAAATCTGCAAACTCAACCTACGTAGCGTAATTCTGCCTGGTCATGTGTCAGGTATGGTCATCGCCGTCGCCTTTGGAGTCGCGATATCTTATATCTGTCTCTGACAGTAAGCTGTGCAGGGCACCTGTATGCTGCACGGCATGCCTTTCATTATATGAGTGTGAGCATGCTGCCTGTACGCATTCCCTTGCGCATATGCGGTGCTGCTTCAAAATTAGTTGACCGGCCCGCTACTTGTAATGCATTGATGTTGTACTGGGTTGATGCTTCAGCCTGCTATGTGTCATGTGTGTGTGTAAAATGGTCTTGCAATAATGTGTGTGTGCAGGTGATGCTTGTGAATTCTGAACTGACTATGTATATAAATTGAGAGAATATAGATAATTGAATTTGTAGTAATATCACATCTCATGTCATGTCAGTTTGAAAATTAACGACTGTGCTGCTGCTGCATGCCGTACGCCTGTGCTGCGCGCAAATATTGTTAGATACTGTCTGCTGTCGGTTTTCAAGCTGTCAGCATGTCTATAGCGGTAGCTACAGAAAGCAAACGGCAGTTTGCTGATGTATGCAAGTACGTGCCAATCTTGGGCCATAAGTTAAAGGGTCCCCGACCCAAGTTTGGAGCAATAGTTCCAGCAGTTTCAGTCCCCCCATCCACCCTCACCACAGCTCACCCAGCAAGTCAGCCACAACCATCAGCATCGCCTACGGCCCGCGGTCGTAAGCATATCAATGCGTCTAGTCTAGCATGGCTTTTTTTTGCACTTTTTTTTTGCGTGCTTTCTAAGATGCATCACTTGCGAGGCGAGCATCGCTTGGGCCCACCGGTCGTAAGCAACGCTTTGCGTTTTGTTGTCCAACCGTGTCAAATCCATGTTTGGTATGAGCACGCAATATCAAGCAAAACAAGATAATACTTTGTGGTTATATGGCTGTCAGGGGTATGAGGCTGGAAATTGCTCAGAAATGTCAAGGGGTCACCCCGCCTTGGATTTTCCAGGCTCATGGGTACCAAACTATTTAATGTCTCCTGTAATATCAGATATCATGTAAGTGTAAAAAAAGTATGCACTATATATACAACAACAGCGGTACATGTTTCACGCAGGCAGAAATGTCATGTCCATGGAATGGCTTTGTAGTGTGAAACATGCGTGCTGCATGTAGCACGCATGTGATGTCTGAAAGCTACAACCAACCACCTACTGGCAAGCAACTCTCGCCAAGTTGGGCTGGGTTTGACCACAAAGGATCATTATCGAGATTGCTGAAATTGTGGCGCAGCCTGCCCATGGATAACTTCTTCAATGCACTCGTCCCCACTGACTCTTCCAGCTGTGTCTTGGGCTCCCCTTTCACACCTAATGGCAAACCCTTCAGTTCACACCGTGCAAGCTCTTCAAATTGGGCTTGGATCTCATAGGCGGATTTGTCTTCATATGGGAGGGCATTCCAATCTTCTGACAGGGAGGCCACAGCCTGTTTGTATTCTTCTGGATTGAGAGAGCCCATGTCAGAAAGCTTGTGTCGCTGAAAAACGTTCCATGCACTGAGCCGCCGAAGTTTCGAAGAGGCGAGCTCTGCCTCATGCTGCACAGCCATTCTTTTGTCTCTTTTTTGTCTTGCAGCAACCTGGTATGGAATCAGCAGCCCAAACACTGCAGGGGCCAAGAGAAAAAGAATACCTCACAGCCTCACATAATGCCCCCCACAAATGGCGCTTTTGTTTGCAGAATGCATTTATATTTATATTGTACCCTTTCGCGCCGACCACATGGCCCTAGCAGGGATTCAATGTCAACTCACGCATGCGGCTCTGCTTCTATTTCAATTCACAGCACTTTCATTGCTGCTGCAAAAAAGGAAACGTATTCTATTGGTGCTGTGTCAAAACTCAAAAAAGAACAGTGAAATTCTTGTGTGGACTTTGGAAGGAGATAATTTTGAAACGCGTAGCATGAATTGCGTGGGTGAAGTACTGCCGCGGCATCAAGTGCGCATGGAAGCTGGAATGTGGCGAAGCTTTACTAAAGTGCAAAGGGCAAAGGGAAGAGCATCAGGTGAATCAGGTGTGCATGGACTGAGGGATACTGAAGACAAAAAGTGGAAGGTACGAGCGCGGCATACTATGTGGAAGCTGGAGAAAGTTGCGAGTGTATAGCGTACCGCAGCGTACCACCGTAGCATAACACGTGAACGGAAATTGCGCTGGAGAAAGTTTCGAGCGTAGCATCAAGGGGAAAGCTGAGAGCGTAGCATTGAGTGATGCGCAAGATATTAAAATATAAGACAAGGTTCCAATCGTAGCATCAACTGTGTTTGCAGGTAACTGGAGTAACTGGAGAAAGTGAAGAGCATCAATGTAAATGCATCAAGCGCATGAAGAAGTTCGCTGAGAAGCCAAGAACGTAGCAAAACATCAAGCGTCAAGCGTACTGTACCAGGAAATTTGGAAAAAGTTCAGAGTGTAGCGTCCAATGCACTTAGAAGTTACCCAACAACGCAACACAACTAAAAGCGGTTGAGAGGGCTGGGAAGGTGAGTGAATGTTCAAAGGCCGACCAGTTCAGTCAGTCAGTCAGTCAGTAAGTCAGGAGTGTCGCATCAAGTGTGCATGCATTCAAATTTGAATAAAGCGCACCCCACCCCAACCCAACCCAAACCAAAATCCATGTAAGATTGACACGACCTTGTCAACAATGAATTCTGAATCTTTTTGGTGCCTTTATGGAAGGGGGTGGGCAAAAACAAAACCAGTTAGACCAATGCCCATGTTTACAAACATTAAAAACCAGTGTCATATTTTAGACTATAGTACCAATCCTTCTCCCTCCACCTACAAACCACCTCTTAAACTTCAAAAAAAGAGACAAAGGAAGGCAAAACAAAATCAAGTGAAGGTAACTGGTCTTGACCGATCCCCAGTGGAATATTGATTTGAGCCGCCAGATGCACCATGCATTCTCAAAATTCCGGAAACTGTCGCCTTGCCTGGGAGAGTCCGCTCTTCCACCCAGTGCCGGGCGAGCTCAAAGTCGCGAATGGCAGATTGAAGAAAAGATGATTCTTTTGCAGCTACAGGTGTTTTCACTACCATGTTCCCTCTGTGACTGGCAATGTGTTGCACATTTCCATTTTTGATTTCCACTGCATCAGAGCTCACCGGTGAATGCGTTGCAAGGTCGTGGAGTAACAACTGCACCTGGCATTGGACAGACTTTTGCACTTCTTCTGGCTGCGTGGCCAACTGACTTGGAAATCCGCAGAGCAATTTCTTACTAAAGGCATCGTCGAAACACGCGCTACAAAATGCCATCTCTTCATGGAAGCTGTCCCACTTTTTGACGAAAGTCTTCAAATCCACAGACGACAACTCAAAAATTTTGTATGGACATGCGGAGTAGTCATGCACAAACCGCTTCCAGGTATCTGAAACAATGAGGATCATCATGGAGAATATAGTTTGCAGAGTCCCAGAAGACTTCAAATTGACCCCTGTCGCCGCTAAGCATCCCAGGCGGTGAGTTGTCATCTCAATGTACTCCTCAATGATGCTCCAGCCAAAGCCACCAGACACCATTGACAAAAACAAGTCTTTGCTCTGGGCCGTAATCTCTCTCCAAGATTCATCTTCTGATCCAAAGAGTGCAAGCTTGGTCAGCTCTGCACTTCTAGCAAAAAGCTTGTTGATCCGGTGGTCCATGGGCTGTATCATGAAAGTAATGATCTGTGAGCCCTCCAAAAACTTTTCCTGCATAATTTCCTGCTGCACAAGCTCTCTGCGTTTGGCATTGTATGCACGGAAGCCATCACCGTTGTTTGGAAACAAGTCATCAATGAACCTGCCCTCTGCTCCTTTTTGGCTATCAAAATCAATCTCTCCATCTGCAAGAAGCTTGTCCACCAAGTCAGACTGCTGGTCTTTGCATGCTGCATCCTTCCCAAAATCCATCGCCCCCAAGGCTTTGGCTAACAACCCATGCAGCGTTGTTCCGAAAACAATGTATGATATGGCTTCGTCGTAGTGCTTAAAGCGGTACAGAAGAGGGACCGGGTATCCTCTTGACAGAGAGGGAATGATCAACTTCAAGCATTTCATCAGGGAATCAGCATACCCATTGCAACATGGCTTCCCGTCTTGCTTTTGAATGCAATAGTGGAATACACAGTCAGAAGACAAGTCACCGTTGAGAAAATCCAAGCAAGCATGAAAGGTTTTCTTCAACAGCTTGGATGAACATTGAACAGAGGCCCTCAATCTCTGGTGGGTTTTCTGCCATTGGCAAGATTCTTCTGGAAGCTTTGTCACTTGCAGGTACACAAAGTTTTTTGAAACATAGTTGGTCAAGGCTCTCGCCAGAGATTTGCGGAATGACATAGTTTCAAACAGGTGAGAGAGCCGGACAACCGTACTCCATAGTTTTGGAACTGACAGGACTACTGGCTTTCGAATGAGACAAATCTGATGAATTGCGCAGCGAAATCGTATGGCAAGTTGTTTTTCCGTGTTGCTCTGAAAAAGTTCCAAGCATTCAGCCCGAAAGGCCGCCTCATTTGCTTTCAAAGCATCACCCGCGAAGACAAATGTCTTCCAAGCTGCTTGGGGAGTAGGATCTTTTGGCGCCCCAAACCTTTGGAGCATCCTGCCCATACCTTGGGCTGTCAGCACGGCAGAATCTGCAAAACCTCGATGGATTCCAGTGGCGTCAGCATTTGTCACCAACTGCAGTGGTGTTGGTACACGCAAACTTTTGCAACCATCAGCCTCTTCAACTTTCCCGGTGTTGCCCTGAGCAGCCAGCACATTAATTGGGGTGTACCGAGCATGCAGACATTGGACTGTATTCATAATTGTGAACACCGTTGCTCGGTCTGCGTGAGTTGGTCCTTTCAACCGCGTGGATGTGTCGTCCACCACGTGAGTATTGATGGCATGGAAAAGTCTGGTCTCAGGATTCTCCGCTGTAAAAAACTTTGAAATCACCTCTGCCAGACAACGGGCTAGACTGTAAACACTGCGGGCGCGATCAAGCCCGAAAGATTTGTAATCAGAGACACCATCTGAAGCATACACTCCTTCCTCCAGCTGTGCTTTGAAAAACTTTGATGTGAAAAAAAACTTTTGCAACTGGCCGCACTTGGACTCCTCATTGGCAGGACGTGGCTGCTCTGCTGCGAGTCTAGCTTTTTGTTTGTTCAAAAATTGGGTGCGCCCCTTCTCTGTTCTGTTTCGAAGCTCTGCCGGAGTTGAATTTTCATATCTCGGCAACTTTTCCTCCACATTCGAATTCCCTCGCAGTTGGCTAAACATTTGACTGCTGAAGGAAGGACGCAGGCTTGAAGCTGTGTAAAGCCGCGGCGATGCAAATAAAACCTTTGCATCTGAATGGAACTATTGGAAATGGATGTTGGTATGTGTGGTCGTTACCGTGTATGTCTACCTGCACTTCTCCATGTCCATGTGTCCATGTCTGGTAAAAAGAAAACAAAGGTACTGGACCAGTCTTAGCTGAATGGGGTACTTCCCAGCTTTGGCAATGGCCATGGCCACCGGCTGTGCAAAACCAGTTTCTGAATGCTGAACAGTTTTGACATGCAGTTACATCCACATGCAGATCCAGTTGCACAGCTTCGCCCTGACCAAACAGTTCAGCTAAGCTGGTGCGTTCAAATTATTCATCTTATCATATCTGTGAGCCTATCATGTGATCATGTGTTGAAAAGTTGGCCAGATTACCAGGTGATCCTTTACAAGGGAAAGGTAAGAGGTATGATGAGGAATGGCAAACCCTAGTAAGGTCCTAGTGTTGGGGATAGATCACTGTCAAATTTCACAGCCCTCATCTGCTGGTCCATGAACACTCGCGCTCCAGGCCTTGAAGCCTTCATAGTCAGGATTGAGACTGGTGGCCAAGGCAGGAAATCGGTCAAAGATTCCCATCACCTGCATAAGCCGCTGGTGCGATTGCGAAGCTGTAGCAGGTTCAAAATGATGAAGTTGACAAGCAGCTGATGCAGCTATTTAGAATCAAAGATTTGGGAGAACAAACTTGACATGTTGAAGGGAAGGGATGAGACCCTGCAAGCCATTCTTACTTTAGCCTTGTCCTCAACCTGTCTCTTATAGAGTTAGAAATGGAAGTTTGATCTGGATTTCTTTTCCTCTGAAATTCATTGTGTTGCTAGGCCACAAGTATTGCAGTAGCAAATCATTCCTACAACCGTGTTCGGGAGCTGCCACATGGAGCTGCCAAAATGACAGACAGGCTGACAGACAGACAGACAGACAGACAGACAGACAGACAGCCAGACAGACAGACAGACAGACAGAGGAGATCTACTAGATTGGGTTTGTGGCATTGAGGCCGCAAAATCAATAGTTAAAGTCAAAGTTATTGTTATTCTAAAAATAAGATGTGTAGGATTTATTCTCATCCGCATTTGTTTTTCCTTTCCAGGGTGTGATGGGGCAATGTCACAGAACGGACCCCCAGGATTCGCCAGGCTGGTGAACCAAGATGCACCTCCTCCATGATTGCAATGCGAGGCTTTTGATGTCCTTAGATGCTCAAAAGCCAGGTGAACAACTGCGCACCCAAAAACCTAGTCGGAAATGTGGTTTGGGATTAGATCACCTAGACATCAGGTATCCTGATACCCCCTTACCCCAGTCATGCCTTGTGATTGACAACTTTCCAAAACAGTGCGCAACCATGGCAGATAGACAGCCTCCATCCAACCATGAAACACTTGAAGCGCGTGATTGAATGAGTACAGCAAAATTCTGAACGCTTGCAAATCCACTAATTTGGTTTCCTACAAGATCCCTCTGAAGTTTGCCATTGGCCCATGGCATGCCCCAGAAGTGGTTCACCACTTGCCCAGAAAAATGTTTCTGTCCAAGGCACGCACCCACCTGCTTCCAAGGACAAACGGCTTCGAGGCTGGGTGTTCCATGGGGTTGTAGTCCAGCTGACTACGGAAACTGCTGAGGCGCGTGTATGGGGCGCAAGGTGGCCCCCAGACAAAAATGTCACAGTCCTGGAGACAGGGATAATGTCACTATCACAAATATCTGGGTGATGTTAGATGTTGATGTTCTTTTTCCTGCGTGTGCGCTGGAGGGGGCTGGGCGTGGAGACGTGTTCGCTCAAGGCTGCTTTGCCGTTCGCAACCGTCCGCAACTGTCCGCAACTGTCCGCAACTGCATGCAACGTCCGCAATGAAGCTGATATGGCAATTTTGAAGGCTTTGAAAAGAGAGGCATATCATTTTTTGTGGCAGGCGTTGCACCTTGATTATAACATTCTGAGATCATGTGTTGAAAATTCTTCCCTGAGACCTATACTGGCGCATCTCCGCTTGTAAAGCAACTGGCTGGTGCACTACTTGCAACCTTTGGGAAAATTTGAGGGGACAAACTGAATGATAGCCTGCAGCGTGCTAGAGGCTAGATTCCTGTAGACTGACTTCTAGATTCATATAAGTGCCGCGGCGCTGAAATGCAGTAAAGCCAAACAAAAAATGTGCAAAGATACAGTTTGAAAAATGCATAGCAGCAGACTTGGCAAAATCAAGATCATTAAAACATTAAGATGTTCACAGTCTTCCTTTGCACCATCCCTGTGAACAGGTCCTGCGGTTTGTCTTTCAGAACGCACGCGTGCCTGCAGCTGGCGTGAAGTAGGCACTTTGCATTGTCCTCTGTCCCGTCGAGCATGTCTCGGAAAATGTGGTCAACTTGGTTGCGAGGCAAAGCTTGCAACAAAAGCAACAATCAAGTCAGTGGCTATGGGAATATGGGCCATAATGTTCTGATCTGTTTCCAGTCAGAATTCCTCTGGCAGCTCCTTCTCTGTCATGAATCATGATGTGATTTCTGCCCTGGTTTCCAACAACTCTATATGCTAGTTACTGCTAGTTTGCTAACAAAGCCGCTCAAAACCCTTTCAAAAATTGAGTCTAGCAACCCTTGTCACTGTAGTGGGCCTTCAGCCGCTCACGCTTCATCGCAGACTTTTCCGAGAAAGACGCCACCTTCCACTGGAAGTCAAAGTACTTGCAAAGTTCTTCCCTTGGCTGTTGCCATTGGCGGGTCAAGCTGAAATTCCCGAGAAGCCTGCTTACCAGCTGATTTCAGATTGCCGCTTCTAAGCATTGAGTGTTGGTGGATGAAAAATCCTATAGGGTGCTTCGCTGCGAAGGATTTGTTTGCTGACCCGAGAATCATGCAGTAGGTAGCTGTCCCAGCTCCGGCACAGGCTTCTGCTATGACATACCTCACATCTGTGTACCGTGGCCCCTTGGTGCCTCGAAAAACATACAGGCTAGGGGTGGATCTAACTAATGTTGAATGTAAAATGTTACAAGTTACAAGTTAGGTTATGTTACTTGCTTAATATATTGGATTAGATGGTCTGCAAATGGTCAACCAACATTTTTATAATTCCAATTAAATCCGGACCTTCTTTATGATTTTTCTGTTATGAGTTTATGACTATGACTTATGACGGATGTGTGTGCCACAAAAACTCATTTAGTCTTAAGAGTAGGTTGTCTAATGCAATTCATTAGTAATAGGTCAGTGTTGTGTAAAGAAGTGTTTAGAACTCCTAGTGTTGAATTGAGGGTTTCTGATAAACAGATGTCCATGAGTCCATCCATCGCCATGAAAAAACAGGAAGTGTGGATGTCAGGCTTCCAAACTTGAAAACTGTTTTGCGCAAGTAGGTGGTGGCGAGCTGCTTGGGAGCTCCTACGCCCCAGTCTGAAATGTCAACTTTTCTGCCAGCCAGCAACTTTTGCAGCACACCTGCCCACTTCAAAAAGTGGGGTTTCTCAGGGACCCCATCATCCCACAGGAAGCTGGTCGCCAGTCCTTCAAGCGGTCGGCCATCAGTCTCAATCCTTTGGGAGGCAATGGCTGACTCAAGGATCTGCAACAATAAATTAGTCAGCCCAACCTGCGAAACTTTGGCCTATGATGCCATCTTTTTGACCTTTGGCCTCCAAAATTATTTGCATGCAAGTTTCTCGCTTGGTAGTGAACCCACTAAGTCGTCAAAGAGCTGGTGCTCCTCGCTTCCAAGGGTCGAGCATTCAGACGCCATGGCGCTGGCTGTAGCCTCTGAAACTTTTCTGGCCTAAAAATATTTGTCCTGCTCACTGCTGATTTTATTTGGATGGCACCTGCTCACCTGCTCATGCTGTTCACTATTCCTGAGCACACTGATGGCCACAAAGGCGGCCGAGCTTCAAACAAACAGCCCTGTCCCACCAGAATGGATAAACCAAGTGGTTGGATGACTATGTGTGACCTACAAGTCCTACAAGCCCTGACATAGCACAAACAAAATTACAGCAGCGGTCCATCGTCTCTACATGAGTTTGGTCTTGGAGCCCTTGATTGATTTGCGCGGTAAAAAAATGGACAATGACAATGACTCGACAAATGCCAATGGTGATATTGTGTGTGTGTTCTTTTTGTGGGTAGTTAGCATTGAAGCCATCATTTCCCTTGCTTACACTCCTCATATCACTTTCCCACTGTTTTCCTAACATTTACAACATGGGCATTCGGCATACTGCACATGTTTCTACCTGCTGCCAAAACATCCAGTGAAATAGCTGTAGTGACTTTTGTGTGCAACCAGAGGACATGAATTCTTCGATCAATGAATAGCTCACAGATTCAGATAGCCAGTTCTAGACTAAACTCGAACGCTGGAAATTAGAATTCAGGATGATTCTTCATAATTCGCCGGTGGTTACAGAAGTATGTCAAAAATAGCTCAGAGTTCCTTCATATTCATATTTTTTTAAATTAATACGCCACATGAATTTCGTAGAAGCTCACTAAGTATGACTAGTTCAAAGAGTTAAGGAAGGAAGTCATGCCTTGTGATGTTCATTTTTCACTGCTCTGAGAATTGAAGAAAAGGTTCCTGAACTATGTTAGTTGAAAGAATTTCAGTGAATGTGCGAGGTAATTCTTCAAGTTGAAAAAAGTTCCAGGACCTGTAGGTATAGGTATAGCATGGACATAGTGATAGTGATTGCTAAAATTTGGAAATTTATTAGGCTACATGTCTACGCACCTAGATTTTCAAAGGTTCCGAAAGGAAGGCTTTAAGAATTCCTACTCTACACATAATTGTGGTCATGTGAGAACTGTTGTTGCACTTTTAGCATTAGTTCTAATTCTAGTTGTGGGAGTTTTTGACACAGTTCTTGAATTTAAAAAAAACGCTGAAAATTGTTTTAACTAGTTCGGAAAATTTACAAACTAGTTCTTCAAAATTTGGAAGTAGCATTGAACATTGTTAACAGGCTTGATATGATTTGTAGAAAATGTTGAAATGTTAAAACTTTTTTTGAAAAAATAGCTCTGTCTTTTTTAAAATAAGCTTTTGAAGATTTAAGAAGTAGTGTTGAGGCTTCTGGAAAGGATTGGAACATTTTAGAAATAGATTTGAACATTTTAGAAATAGATTTGAAGATTTTAGAAATAGTTTTGCAAGTTTAGAAATAGTTCTGACAATTTTAGAAATAGTTCTGACAATTTTAGAAATAGTTTTGCAAGTTTAGAAATAGTTCTGACAATTTTAGAAATAGTTCTGACAATTTTAGAAATAGTTCTGACAATTTTAGAAATAGCTTTGCAACTCTCACAGAAACCCAAAATAAAGAAGCCGAAGCAACCCCCAATATATATATATATATTATATATATATCCTTCTCTCTCTCTCTCTCTCTCTCTCTCTCTCCCTCTATCTCTCTATCTCTGTACTTCTCTACCTATCTATCTACCTACTGACTTACCTACCTACCTCATGCTACCTGCCTACGTACCTATCCACCTACCTACCTGTCTACCTACCTACCTACCTACCTACCTACCTACCTACCTACCTACCTACCTACCTGCCTACGTGCACGGATATATGCAGATAAATGCGGACATACGCATTTATATAAATATGTGTATATATATAATATATACATTAAATCTACCTACATACCTACATTCCACCGGCACACTGTAACAACACTTACGATCGGGAATTCAGGGGATATGTGTTCCAGCTAGTACGCAGTTACCCATTTCAGGATTACCCAATGATCGTTTTATTCTATTCTGTTCTTGCAAAACTGTGCGTATCATTTACCAGGCGGATTTTGCCAACCAAATATGAAACGTTCGAACTGCTTGAGGGGTGTGTGGAATACTTGTATCAAGCATTATGTTGAAAAGATGATGTTGATTGACATGGCTACCCCAAGTTATTGATCCATCCACCATTTGTTCTGGTCCAGGCCTGTTGCGCATGTTGACCTTCAAATGAGTCTGCACCTCAAGAGGGGCGCATTGTTGGATCATGTCTAGCTACATAGGCCAATACACTTAAGTAATTATCTCAATCTGTCGCATGATAGATAAATATTGTGAGATATTGGGAGTGCAGTATAGGTAGAAACAAACTATCTTTACCTATCATGGATGTGAAATCAATGGATTGCTGTATGTGAAGGTCCTCGTTCTTCTTTTGCAGAACCTCTGGCCCATGAAATTCAATGGGCTGTAAGCCCACAATCCGCAGATTGGTTTCAATTTTTGGCTGATGCATTGTTTCATATTGTTTCTCTGTAGATTTTCCCTCAAGTTATATAAAAGCCAACCAGATGACAGAATTGTTGGAACTCTTGTAGATGCCGAATACCTCATAAGCATCATTATCTTCATTAGTTTCTAATTGGATGGTCTTTTTAGTATGGGGTGACAGTCTGTTGTGATATCTTCTCGTTGGGCCTTGCGCTGAGGAATCAAGTATGTTTGGCTATTCTATTGCGGGGCTCTCAGGTACTGGCTTTTCAACACTCGTGACAGGCCTTGTTTTCATGTGGCAGCAAGACATAATTTGACAAAACCGATCTTCACTTCATGGTCTAAGATACAATTTTGATTATACATGTATTGGTTTGTGGGGCTCCCGGCTCCCAGTTTTCTTGAACTTATTGACCCCTGACTCTATTGGTTTTGCCGAGTTTCAACATCAGACCGGACCAACCGGGAATTCAAGGTTTAGAATGACCACCACTGTCATGGGCCAGTTTCTTGATGTTGCTTGCATCTGCAGGGAAGTACTGTTGAATCCTGTCGAAATCCATTGAATTGATTTCACGAAGATTTCTTGAACACATTGACACATTTATTTTGTGGCTACCTATTCTTACTGTAACGGAAATGCTTTGGTTTCCGGCAGACATGGTACTTGTAAGCTTCTGGCTCTGATAGCCCGTTCTGAAGAGATGCCGTGAACAAATCAGACAAAATCTGCGACAAAAAGCAGAAGCTGGGCAAATTATAACCATTGTACTGGCCGTCCTAGCCATAAACCTTTCTACACTAGTGGGAATCATCCGCAAGATGGCCTTGAATCATTCGGATACCCCGTTTCCTTTGTGCAGTGAAGAGTGATCCGGCATCGGCAGACCCTCATGCCGACAGAGAACACTTGTAGGAAAATTATGGGTTGGGACACATTGTAATATTTATGTAATATTATTGTGTGTTGGCCTCATCCAACCACCAAACGTATTCCAGACAGCAAGAGTTGGAAACAAGGTAGGACCGGGGGGGTTCGCAATGCAAGAGCACTCGCATGCAGGAGCATATGTCAACACGACGCATGTGTCAGCATACGTTTCGTATTTCAAAACCGAGCAACCACCACGACATGGCACCAACTCGCCAGGTTTGATGCTGGTCCCAAGATTTCCATAGATTTCCTGCATGGAATGAAAATGCTGGGCCTCAAGCTGCCACAGAAAAACATTGCCGATTCACGTGTTGCCATCACCGCACAACATGGAAGCAGGCTGTGGGAGTGGTGTTCTTGCGCTTGTGGCTCTGGTGGAATCAGCCTTCGCGTAGTGGAGTGGATGTGGATGTACGGAAAGATAAGTTTCAGCTATTTGTATCTGCATTCGCGCTGGAAATCTATCCCTGATCGGATCGTCCTTCATGTAAAAAAACACAAACATACAAAAACAATAAACCTATATAATTTAAACAAGAATTTAAATATCGACCACACGTATATCCATATAAGATTCCATAAGTATCCTCTTCACAAGCCCGGCCAGGTGGCTTGGCCGAAAAGTATGGAGCTGCCAAATCTACGGAAGAGCTGCTGCTGTGCAAGCTGGGTCCTGAGATTTCGCTTCATCGGATTTGGCGGATTTGGCCAGGAAGAACATGGGCAAAATGGAGCAAGATAGGTAGATTCAAGGACCAACAATGATCGTTCAATATGGTTTAATAAAACAACATGGAGTGTCTTGGCAGATCTGAAGGGTGAACAAGGCAGATGAACAAGTCCAAATGCTGGGGCTATTCTGGAAAACTGTGCGGTCCTTTGTTTCGGAATAGGAAGGCCTTCATGCAGTAGAACATGCATTGTCATTGTATCATTTCCACTCGGGTATATCACCGATTCGGATAACTTTGGCACATTGATTCAAGGATATTATTATCAAAGGAAGTTTAGAAGTCAAACTTCCGACAATATGGACAGATGAAAAGCAGAGCAGGGCAGAGGCAGAGAGAAGAGAAAGATCAGAAGAGAGAAGAGTAGAAGAGAAAGAGTAAGAAGAAAGAAGATGGGGATGCGCGAAAAGGTAGGAAAGTCGCGATTCACTGTGTTTTTCCAATGATTTGAGGCTCCGGAGGGCTCGCTAAAGCGGCGGGTGCAGAGCCAGCTGGCCAGAGGAGAGATGAAAAATTGCACGCCGTTGCGGCGCGAAGCACATTTCCAAGTCAAAATGTTAAAAACACTAGGGGTGCGGACCATTTTTGGGAGTTGAGATGTCGAAAAAGTGCACGCCGTTGTGGCGCGAAGCACATTTCGAAGTAAAAATGTACAAAGCACTAGGGGTTTGGACCACTTTGGAAGTTCAGATCTCGAAAAAGTGCACGCCGTTGTGGCGCGAAGTACATTTCCAAGTCAAAATGTACAAAGCACACCATTGTCGGACCACTTTTGGAAGTTGCAATGTCGAAAAAGTGCACCCCGCACATTTCGAAGTCAAAATGTTAAAACACCAGGGGTTCGGACCACTTTTGGAGGTTTCGGATGTCGAAAAAGTGCATGCCGTTGTGGCGCGAAGGACATTTCGAAATCAAAATGTTCAAAACACTAGGGGTTCGGACCAGTCTTGGTGGTTCAGATGTCGCTTCGCTTCACTACATTACACTACACTACACTCCACTACACTACACTACAGGACATTACACTACACTACATTACACTACACTACACTCCAGTACACTCCAGTACACTCCACTACACTAAATTACACTACACCACATTACATTACACCACACTACATTACACTGAATGACACTGCACCACAGATAGACAGGTAGACAGATAGATAGATAGATAGATAGGTAGATAGATAGATAGATAGATAGGGAATTAGATGAAAGAGAGAGAGAGAGGCCAGCTGAATAGATGAGATAGATAGATAGATAGATAGACAGATAGATAGATAGGTAGATAGATAGATAGATAGATAGATGGCTAGACAGATAGATAGATAGATAGAAAGATAGATAGATAGATAGATAGCGAGATAGATAGATAGATAGATAGATCGATCGATCGATCGATGGATCGATAGATCGATAGATACATAGATACATAGATACATAGATACATAGATACATAGATAGATAGATAGATAGATAGATAGATAGAGAAACAGAGAGAAAAAGAGAGAAAAAGAGAGAAAAAAAGAGAAAAAAAGAGAAAGAGTGAAAGAGTGAAAGATATCAATCACCTTTCAGTCCATCAGTGGCTTCGCTCTGCCATCGGTGATTCACAACAACCAGGTTGCCTATTTTTGAAACTTCCGCCACCGCCTTGTGGTACTACTGGTATCTGATTTGTACTAATCAAGCATTGTGATTCTAGAAGCACATCAGGGTACAAACGGTCCTGTAGCGTGTGTGACATCGCATTCATATTATAATACATGAATGTACCATATTGCACCGAGATGTTTGACAGACTGATTTCAGCCGGAGCAGATTTCTCCGGATTTTGTTCATCAAAAACTTTGCTCACTATGTCACATTGCTCTCGTTTCCAAGAGCACAAACGTGCTATGGCTGTGCCTCCTTTAGCCAAGTCGCTGGAGATTGCTAAAAAACCATGAGATTTTTGAAGCCTTGTTCCGCAGGTTTCCGCTCATGGTCCATGTTTCTGCACAAAAACACGTGCAAAGCCAAATCTCGGCAGGTTTACAAGTTCCATGGTTTCTGGCTTTGGATTGGTTGGACGGAACTGGCGCAGATGATTTCCTCATGTGGCGCCCCATGGGGCGGTTGGAGACACCAAAAGCAATCCGAAATAGATGGTTGCTTCTCCGTATACATTCCAGCATCTTCCAACATATTTCAACCATTTTTATCATTTTTGGATGGAGGAACCCTGATCCCCAGCATGCAGCATGCTCGAACGTTGTCATTTCTGGGTGCTGTTCCTGTGAGAGTTCCAACCTTTGTCTCCCAAAGGTTGTTCGGACCAAATCACCTGGTCATTGGGGAGTCCATGCAACATTTCAGCGTTCAAAGTCGATAGCCACGGTCGGAACATGGCGGAGTTTACCCTCATTGGGTGATTGAATCAAGGCACGTTTTGCATTGATAGAGTGGAAAACAAGGCCTTAAGATTTCTTAGGGAGTCAAATGGGAGGGCGGTTAGGAACCGTTTCTCACACCTGTATGTGAGTGAAACTTGGGGACGTCATTAACGAAAATGGGAAACAAACAAAAGTACCACGTACCAGGCAATGTGTAATTCCCAAAGTCCAAAGGGTTTCAATACCACCCAGCCATACCATGATTCCCCTTTCTCAGCGACCATTTCTGCAGTCCAATAAGTAGGTCGACTCTGCATTTTGGGGAATTTCCGATTGTTTTTTGAATATGTTTGAAATGATTATGTAAATGCAAATGTCATTAAATGCCTAGTGGCCTAGTGGGTAGAGCCCATGATATGGAATTGTAATTCGCTAGCTGACCATTTCTGATTGGTGGTATCCAAGCTGTATCATCCTCTTTCTGCTTGGAATGATGATCCCAAATTACTAATATGTTTGGGACGGGTGGAAACCACTAACCAGATTTACTACTACAGGATCACCATGGATTACCGGTACCACCAACCAGAATTACTAATTTACTAAGGGATCTCCCGTATTGATGCGTGCTACCCCGTGAAAAGTCTACCCACCAAGCTATGCAAACATGATCAAACACACATGATAATAAGAATGAGAAGAATAATAATAACAACAATAATCATAATATAACTAATGATATATAATAGGAATAATATATATATATATATATACTTTAAGATAATAATAATGATAATATTAATAACATATAAACCATATTAAATATTGGTCAGAAAACTGGGAAAACAAAGCCGGCCCGACAAAAACGAAACCTATGTCTTCATGATATAGTTTGGATTATGTAATCTGACATCAGTCCATTCAGATGCATTCCATTGGTGAAAGACACAAGTAGATTATGAAAGTGGTGTCAGTGATTTACCCTATTCCCATCATGCCTCGTTTGGGAAACATTTGCTTATATTTTTGTGTGCGGTCTTGCAATGGATGGTTTACATCAGTGGATTTGTATGTATTTGACAACCGAAGCCAGCCGCAAAATCTTCTTCTTCAGATGTTGACACTTTTTTAGACCTGGTTCTACATGCTCAAAAATATTTTAAACGACCATTTTGTTTCATGGTCATTTCATGTCCCTTGCGGACAAAATGTCAGAAGCGATGTCAGCCTGTGTGTTGTGGGTTTCGGAAATCTAGCAGAACAAACCAGCGTTTCCCAGGGGTTTTCTGTGAGCAAAAACCTTTCCAACGTTGATCTAAAGAAGCCCGACCTGCCAGGCCCAAAAGGAAGCCTCTATAGTATCTATATATATATAGAGGATGTTTTGCCGCCCATTGAAGTTACAAGGCTCACATGGACCATGATTTCCAGCCACTTTCAGCAGAACCAGGGCCTGAAACGCGCAGCTGAGGATCGGTCGCTGCTGTGGAAAATCGACACCTCCCCTTTCGCGTGAAGAAATCCTTGAGAGGACCGCGCAGATGGGGATAGTGCAATTTGTTCCTTTGGAATCTGCAAGGTTCAAGTAAACTTGCTACAGTATCTCCCTCCATTTCATTCATGGATCGCATCAGTAAATCACAAACATGTATCAACAAGCGCATAAATAATCATAAATGTAGTATGATACATATAAACACCATATAACTATAAAATTAATTAATATGAATATATATATATATAACATGTACAAACATCATATATATATATCATATGATTCACGTAAACATGCACAAACATGTTTCTTTTGGCCGCCAAACAACATTACTCACAGTCCTCGCAGCTGTTCAGATTTGCGCAAGTGCCCTAGATTGCGGAACTAGGTTTGCGCCACTATGCCGCTCTATTGTGCAACTGGGCTTGCGCGACTGTGCGCGCAACCGCGTTCGTAGAATATGGAAGCCGATCTTGTGCAGTAGGATTTTGAAACCAGAAGGTTCCGGACTGTGCAAGTAGTCAAGTCATATTGTGCAATGCAACTACAGGGTCTATTTAGGGTTTGTTCAGGGATTGTTTAGATTTGTTTAGGATTCATTTACGATTTGTTGAGGGTTTGTCTATACTCTCACAATACAACTTTCGAGTTTTACCATATACCACGTTAGAGTGTCACAATACAACCTCACAGGCTCACAAGAAAAATGTAAGTGTCAAAATAACAAATGCACAATACAACTGTAGAGTTTCACACGATTACAGAGTTTCAGGATGCAACCAGGAAGTTTCAACACACAGCAGTTTAAAACTTAGTTTTACACATATGTCATAAAAAACAAATCTCAGGATATCTCCATCTAACTCCACCATCCACCAGGGATATGGGGGCATCCAGGATGCCTTCAATTGGGAAGTGGAAGTTGTCTCCCGATGGCTCGCTGATCAGCTTGCCTCTTGGACAGATTCGGAGGTCTCCTTTAAAACATGTTGTAGGGCTGTACAGATGTTTCAAGTGATTTTAATGCGGACCTGAAACATCATTAAACATTATAGAAGGTTTTAGAAGGTATCGTTCGTTCGTGCCATAGGTATGGTTTGTGAGACTGCGTGAAACATTGAAAAATCCGCTTGTGTTTCCATACCCGTAGGCGTCCCCCCAGCCCCCCGTCAGAAGAGCATCGGATCCAAATAGTCTCTCCTAGTTTTAGTTTCGATTAGGAACGAAGTCCAGGACAAAGCCTGGTCAGAGCAAAAGGACAATCATCTTTATATTTCACCAGCGGTAGCTGCGTTCAAGATTCTTTGTAGCTGGTCATCAGAATTTGTGAAGTCACTGCTGTTTGCCATTGATTTGAAAACAATTCCGAACAGACGGCAGTGACTTTTAGAAGGTATACTCACCTATCATATATATATATATTCAGATTTTCTGCTGGTTCTGAAATGGTGAAACCAGCTCGTAGCTTCTCGTGTCCAACTTCTCTTGGGCTTTGTATATGACGGTAGCCACAGATGCTGAGCAGAGTTGCCTTCTGGAAATCTAACATGGTGAGTTGGTTCCAGCTGTTCAAAATACTGATCCCATGAGAATCAATGGTTGAATACCAAACAAACACGTCCGCTGTGGGTCCATTGGGATCTGTATTCAACCCCGCTGTGGTGGCCCCGGGAAGTAGCAGTGAGGTGCTTCGTGGCCAAAAGCTGGGAGGTGGCCATGAAGTTTCTGAACGAGGCCACCCCGCCGCACCCCGGCGCACCCCGGCGCAAAAAAAGCAATCTGCAGTCACGGATTACGCACCAGAATGTTTGATGAATAATGACATAAGATGATATATATATAATATATATATATGTGATATATGTATATCTATATGATGACATGATATACTGACATACCCTAGACTTCCAAACACCTCAGGTGATGTTGGAATATTTAGCCATAGGCTTTTGGAATCAGTTGAGTCTAGGGATAAGATTGCTGTGCGCGCGTTCCTGGGTCATGGTTAGAAGTTTGCATGTCTTCAATAGTCGGGAACTGGATCCTTGTTGTAATAGAGCCATGCAACTATCTCGATCATCGGGATATATAGAACAAAGCGCGATTCCCCAACTCCGTTCTCACGCTTCCAGAACCAAAACCACGCGATTCCAGAACCAAACCACGCGCTTCCCAAACCAAAGCCGGCGCGCTTCCACAACTACATTCTCACGATTCCACAGCCACACTCTCACGATTCCACAACCAAAACCTCAGGATACAACCAAACTCTCACGATTCCACAACTAACATCTCAGGATTCCACAACCAAAATCTCGCGATTCTACAACTAACAACTATTGATTCCACCAGGAAGACTGCCGCTACTTACTTTCATTGTAGAAAATTCTTGACAAGTTACAAGAAACTTAAATCCCCCACCCCCGCAAAACAATAGACCAAGTTTAAGTATTCTGCAAGCAGCCCCGCTTCTTAGGGAAGACTACTGCTATTTACTTTCATTATAGCAGATTCTTGACAAGTTACAAGAAATTTAAAAATCCCCACCCCCGCAAAACAATACATCAAATTCAAGTCTTCAGCAAGCAGCCCTGCTTCCTAGGGAAGACTACCGCTATTTACTTTCACTATAGAAGATTCTTGACAAGTTACAAGAACTTACAAAATCCCCCACCCCCGCAAACCAATAGATCAAATTTAAGTATTCAGCCAGCAGCCCCGCTTCTTAGAAGATGCGACCGGAACTTGGGTTAGAGCAGTTCATGTCTTGGTTTGGTTCAAATCCCTTTTGGTTTTGGAATAGCCCGTTTTGGTTATGGAATAATTGTCGGTTGAGGAATCATACGGTTTGGTTGCAGAACATTTTTTCTTAGTTGTGGAATAATCGTTGGTTGACGAATAACACTTTATGGTTCAAGAATAATAAGTGTTGGTTATGGAATTATCCTTGGTTGAGGAATAATACGTTTTGGTTATAGAATAATACGTTTTGGTTACGGAATAATTCGTTGACCCCAACTACGTTCTCACGCTTCCAGAACCCAAACCACGCGATTCCAGAACCAATTCCCCAACCAAAGCCGGCGTAGCGCCAGCAAAATGAGATGAGATACCTTTTCATAACAGTAGTGACCACACCAAATCTAATGGTATCAGTGGTGCCATCATTGGACATTGAATACCCTGGTTTTGCCTTCAGGCATTTTTTGACAAATTAAAATGATGTCCCGATAGTTGCCCAGCGGCTCCCATTTATGGCCCTCTCTCTAAACATGTGAAACTGAAATTTCTGGGTCAACAAACAATCTTATGGGCTTTGGTACATCGGGCTTTATCCTATTCTGGATCATTATCAGACTTATCAGATATCATCAGATATCATCAGATATCATCAGATATCATCAGATATATCAGATATCATGAGCCATAAATGTCATAGTTGGTGGCTTCAACCCCCCCTTTTTGGGGACTCCAATCGGGCGTTGCAGGTGAGTTCCCTGGCGGAGTCTGAGGGTCACCACCCTGACCTTCACCTCACCAACTACCGCAACGTCCAGGCGGCGATGCCTAAAATTTTTGAAATAGGTTGAAATAGTGGGGTAGTATGTTAGTGCCTAAAATAGGATATGAACATATATTAACTGTTGGTTTGTTATGAAATTTCGTTAGTTTTTTTTGGTACCATTTGATTTAAAAGGCTTCGTGGACTCAAAGGAAGCTCTACTCCTACCAAACAACTGGGATGTGGGTGTGTCAGGGTCCGGTATTTTCATGGCTTACCTGTTTGGAAACAATGGAAGCCAGTGGCCCAAAAGGCTTGCCTGTGACAGAGATGGACATCATTGACACCATTGGATCATGCCAAGCACTTCAAGACCCTTGGGAATCACCAAATTTTGATCCATGCTTTGCATCTACAGAGTTTGTTGTGCTGTCATGTTTCCACCCTCAACGCGAGGTCGATCTGACAACTCATGCGGTTGGTGGACTTGCGCTGCCCGATTTCGTGTTTCTGGGCTGTTGGAAAGGTGGTCTTCATGGCAGAGCCGACTAGCAAAACACTGGGGGTATCAAAGGGCCATAAAGGGCCGACAGATCTGGCATTTCTAGCAGTTTCAAGATGCAGTGAACCGGATCAATCACATCAATCTGGCACTTGGAGCATCGAATGTTCAGGGACAGACTCTTTCACCGTAACCCATTGAGTTGGCGGAGATTCTCCAGGGCCACGGCACCATTGTGTATATAGATAATATTACCCCAAGGCCGGGGGTGCCGCCCAGAGGTTTGTCATGTCACTAACTCTTTAGGGTTTGTTTCGGGTTTGCTTGGGGGTTGTTTAGGGTTTGTTCAGGGTTTATAGGGTTTCATGTATGTTTGTTTTGTGTTTTTCAACCATGGTTTTAACAATATTTTACTTTCAATCCTTACTTAGGGTCTGATGTCAGATTTAGGTTTTAGGGTTTAGGGTTTTGAAATTGGAGTCTAAAACTCATACAGAATGAGAGATTTTATGCGGTGCAGCATAAATATCTGGGTACATCCCACCCGCCCAAGGTACCCTATTCATTTGCTAATGCACACCCTCTTTTACATTCGCTTGCCGCTGCCCATACCAACCAGACAGAAACTGTGTCCAAAGTGGCTAATTTTGAAATAGTGAAGCGACTGGGGGCTTCATTTGATGGTTTTCAAGCTCAAACCTAGGAGGTTGACCCTGCCAAAATTGTGGATTTTGAACTAAAACCATGGCTTTTGACATGTTTTGACCCTAAACCCAGTTGTCGCGGGTATTTTGAGACTAGCCATCCATTAGAGATTAAATATGCTGAATATAGATTTAGGCTTTGTGTTTTGGAAGCAAGTCTCGTCAGGCATTCGGCCATTCCGCCGAGCCGACATCCCAAAATGCATAAAACATTGGCCCTGCACAGTCAAAACACACTTCCCCGGGCAGCACCCCTAATCATTAATACAATATACTTGTGTATATATATATTAAAATATTATTATATATGATATATATATATATAATTTAATTTATATAATACATGTATATATATATATAGAAATAGTACGTATCTTTTGAAGACACATGTACGTTGACTCATAGTACTGTCCTTGGTTTGATGTATGATTAATTCAATTTAAACCAATAGAAGGGGTTGTTAATGCCTTGTTCATTCCAATCCTGGATTGTTTAGTTCCGCCGGGCTGAGGCTGGCGGCCAAAATCGACACCATCAAGGCCAATTAAAGGGTCAGCCTGTCGTGCTTGGCACCTCTATTGGCCCACAAGTTTTTGCAATTTTGCGACCATCCTTTTAAGGGCGTTATAATGTTTTATTTTTATTTTTATTTTTTTTTTGTGTATACATGTATATATATATATATTAAGTTATAATATATATATACCAATTTTTTGGAAATGTGTGGTGGCTGTTTTGACCCATTTGCATTGGCTTTCCTTTCTTTCCCATTGGTACATGAGAGGCACTGTCATGCTTCACGTCTTCATGAAAGCATCAAGAAAGCCTAAGGAAATAGTGATTAATATATATATATATATATCAACATATATTAGCATATGTTAGCATATATTAACATCTATTAACATATATTATATAACATATATTAACATATATATGGCATAGATTCCTCTTTTCCCACTTCCAGACATTGATTGGTGGTGTTGGGATCCTCCATTCCAATTAGCTTTGCACGGGACAGTGTTTCATCAAGGGATGACACATGGCAACAGCATCCAACAGCTGTTTGGCTCGAGGCTGGCTTCGCTTCTAAGCCCACACCCAAGTATCATGTCCTGGGAGTAAACCATCCGAAATTCCCCAGGAGACTCCTGGAAATGACCTGAAGACTAATCTTGCTGAGTCCCAGGCTTTGAAGATACCATGGGTCATTTTACCATTGTCATCCATTGTCTATGTTGCAGTTCTTCTGATGGAAGCCATCGGAAAATGATGGGGTCACATCTTTGATCATCCCAGTGGACATGGATCAAAGCTGGACAGACCTTTAGGAAAGAGTGGTATGGGTCGGGTCACAACTGGGCACCATTGAATGTAATATGAACATATTGATGAACATATTGCTGAAATATTGATGAAATACTATGGATGTGGTCCTTTGGTGCTTTAATTTTTATCCATATTCTGACTATCCCCGCTGATAGATTTTGACCTCCCATTTCTGGGTACACCATTGGGAAACCTTGCTTTGTTGGCATGTAACAATATACCAACAAAAATCCCACTCCCACACAACTCGTGGAAGGCGCCTAATAGTAGGCACAACTTGAGGAACTAATCATCGACCTTGAAGACTCGTCGAGCTTTTTGCCATGGAGAGGGTAACATCGAGGGCTAAAACGCTTGGGAGATGGCTCATCTCTGCATTCGAGCTGCCTGGTTCGTATACATGTTTTCCTGAAGCCCGCTGAGATTATTCGACTGAAGTCCTGGAAAGTACAGGGGCGGTATCAAGGGTGACATAGAGTCTACAGTAAAAGAATGAACCTAACCAGTTACTGACTTCAGAGGTCATGCCATCCAGGGTGATTTTTACTGCGGGCCCTTCTTTAGCAGTGTGTCAAAAACGGAGTAGCCTGGTGACTGTCCCAATGAGCAGAATAGGGCGGCGGTGAAATCATCCACCTCCCGGTACCAGCTTCCGTTGCTGTTGGGATTGGCCCTTCGTGGGCTTTTCAGATTTTCTGTGGAGAGATTTCAATGTTGCAATGCGGGGTGGCTTCCAAATTTGCAACCCCAACCCCCAATGGATCAATGGTGTGTTACAGGATCCTGTTTCCCGTTTGACTGTCCATCATTTGAGAGAATCATGACATGATAACCGTTTGTTTCGATCACAAGCAAGTAGGACTCAGGGTCTCTGAACAAACAATTTGATGGATTCACCTACTGGAATGATGGAAGTGCAAATGGCAAATAGAACTTGCTGCCCTGGGGCCTCTGAACATTGAGCAGTGCATGAATAAATGATCATAAATGTGTATCTATGCATACACAGGTATATCGTGGTATATCTATGTAATATATACACTGTAGATACATTTACAGATGCATTCGAAATAGGGTCACACATATATATATATAATACAAAGTTTATAGCCCTTCATGGTTTTCGTGAATTTAAGTTTGACAGGTTCACCCACAGATGCTGAGTCACAAACACAGGAGTCGCATCCATAAATTTCCTGCTGTCATAATTTTGGCATCATATTGATCTTAGGGGACATACCATATTTACATACATTTACATACATTTATATACATACATTTACATACATTTGCATACATTTACAGTATGTAAGCAGTGACCAACTGTTGATGTCGACGTTCTACCGTGAGGTTCGAAACACCCCATTTGGTGATCTTCAAAGATTGGCGACTCACTGCTTTGCAGATGTCCTTTACCTTTTCAGTGGCTGCGTACGTGGTCATCAAGTCCTTGTTACTGTGGAGTGTCATCCAATACGAGGAGTCACGGGTTAAAAAATCGCTATAGCCACTATGGATGAGGTCTGGTTCTACGTTCTATGGAGATTTCGGAAGTCATGGGGGTCCCGGGGTAACCCCAAATCTTCCTAAGTTAAACCATTTTAGTATTGAAACCCATGGTTTCCGGATGTTTTGCGGCTCTCCCCAAAAGAAAACGCACATGATTAGTAGTTGGGGGCATACCCAAAAAATACGGTTTTCCTTTTAATATAGAATTAGACTCAGCCCCGATGAGCTTGCAGGATTCTGATTCAAAATGTCTGATTGGTTAATTAATTTAAAACTCTTCTCCTTCTTTCCCTATACCCTGAACTTGACATTGCTGCAGGTTCCTGGCGGCTTAAATGTGTTTGTGTTGATACTTGTAATGTATGGTTTTTTTTGGTATGTTTTGTGCTTTTGTTGATAAAAGAACCATTGTGTTCTGTTCGGGTCTATTTGGCTGGCTGGTGGTTTCAAATCTTGTTTTTGGCCTTCCAGCTTAAATACATACGACCAATTGTGGTCCCCACTTGACCCATTTTTTCTACTTGAGTTGAACCACTAGAGCAGATTGAATCTGGCTGCTATTTCACGTTCACACCTGGAGACCACGTATAAATATATATATATATTTATATATATATTATTTTATGTATTATTATTATTTATATATATATATATATATGTATTTTATTTTTATTATGTTTATTATTGTAATATATATATATATATTATTTTATGTATTATTATATATATATATATATGTATTTTATTTTTATTTTTTTTATTATATATATATTATTTTATATTATATGTATATATGTATTTATTATTATTATTTTTATTGTTATTATTATATATATATATTATTTTATGTATTATTATTTATATTATATTATATATATATTGTTATGTATATATATATATTATTTACCTATATCATTATTATATATATACAATTATATATGTCATTATACGTATATATATATATATACATGTATATGTTTTATGATTATTATTCATTATTATAATTATTCACTTTGATAACTGTTTTTTTTTATTATTTTTTAATTTATTATTATATATTTAATTTAATATATTATATATTATATTATATTCTGAATATTATATATATCATATATATTGTATATATAATATTATATATATACATAGATTGAACACATGTCAATAACCAGATGCAAGGCATGGTGTTCTGGGATTCTGGGACATGTTTGCCGACAAAAAATGGTCCCTTGGATCAGGGCGATGGCAAACCTCCCAGTACCACAGAGCATTGTGCCACATCTGTGGGGAGAAAACCCTACTCGAAGGTCACTTGGGATGACTAACATCGACCAACATGCCGTAGATCCAGGCACTTCCTTGCTATGTGAGGCTATGTGGTTTAGGTAGGTTTGGGGGTTCACCTGCTCAGAAGGTGGTTGGAAGGCTAGGGATAGGACATTGAGGGCAAGTGGAAACTAATCAACATCCCACCATTTCCGTTCTGTTCACCAACAGCGTAATTCGCGAGCAGACAAACAGCAACGATATTGGTCGGGAACCATTCTTGGGAGAGACCAGGAGTTAGTTCCAAGATGTTTCAAAATCTTCTGAAAACAGAATTGCAGCAATATCTCGATACATACTCAATATCCCATATTATATTATATTTACATATCCCATACAAGATCCCATGAAGTTCTTTGATGGCTACTTGATACCCCTTGGTCAGGACGTAGCCACTGGTTTCAACAGTTGGTGCTTCACCAGTTGGCAGTCCGCTCCTGCCACTGCACCTGGATTTTGCATTGAAATGCCGCGATCTGAATGGTGAAACATTGGCAAAACCATGGCGATAGTATAGAAACAAATATGATGAACGTTAATGAGCTATGCTGCTTGATTGGGATTAAACATAGCAAAACATAATATAACATGGTCAACTTTATGGTTATATAGTTGGATATTGTTGATATGGTGATGTAAATGTGGGTGATTATGTTTTAGGATTGTCAATCATGATGGTTATCAACCGCTTAGCGATCTTTTTTCACGGGCTGCAACATGCTGTCCCATACTTGGCCAAGGGGGTTATGGTTTGCACATAATGATTACTCACCCAATGTATTCCAATTTCATAATGGAAATACATGTAAATTTATTTCAAAAAGTCAATCATTACTGGTGTTTAAAGATTCAAAATGATTTAATGAGCAACTGATGGTAGCTGCATGGATTTTACGTATCCACCACAACCATGGTATGCTGGAACGACTTGTTGAACTCTTAGCAGTGAACATTCATATCTTTGTTTGGGTCCTACCAAGGGGTTCATGGAAATATCATGCAGGTCTTACTGTGATGCACTTGCTAGTTGGTAAATATCCTAATGGAGGTTGAAGTGCGAAAATCATCTTAGCAGGTGGAATTTCCAGCCACAGCAATGATTCACAGTTTTTATATTGGTCAAGGTATCTTAATCCTGCTGGATATATATAATATATATTATATATAATACATATATTATATATATATATATTATTATTATTATTGTTATTATTATTATATATATATTATATTATATATATATATATACATATTAGCACATAGGACCCCAAGAATTGGATCTCTGGACCCCTCAGGATTCGCCGCACTGCGGGCGGAATCGCAGCTTTGATTTGGCTCCACTGAACAGGGTGGAACCTTGGTCCCGGTGTCGTCTTCGAGAAATTGGTTGGCTCGATATGTTTAAAAAGAAAGATGATATATAGACATAGATCATATAACATTATTGTAACTTATGGTATATGAATATGATAGTCTAGTATGTGTATATATATATTATTTATATATGATTATATATGTATATCTACCTCAAGGTATATAATTGGTAAATCACATCCAAGACCACAGTTTACTCAATATGTCGAGATACTTACGGTTGCTTTTTGTTTACCACAGTTGCTCCAAAATGAAACCACCTTCGAGTCTCAGATCAACAGGTACTTTGAAAGAATGTTTGTCACCCATGGAATTGATCTTCAGATGTTCTATAGTACCTACAGTACTATGGGCTATGCAAAAGATTGATGCGGGCGAGTTCTTGTAGTTTGCTATTCTGCGGAATTTAAAGTTCCAATATGATTATCTATGTGGATATCTGTTTGTATGCGTATTTATATATATTATAATTCTATGCCATCCAGATATTGTAGTTTTATCACTGCCTACACATGTTTTTTTTGGGCAGGGAGATGTCCCTACACAGTTTGCATGTAGCAAATAAATCACAGCTCCCTGCCACATTCAAGCCACAGCCGGGTCCAGTCTGCTGGTTTGAAATGCCAAGGGATTTTCCTAAAACCTGAGAAGTACAGCATTTTAGATGATTTTTACACAAGATTGGTCACATCCACAACATTCATAGTCATCCGTACTCGAATGTGCATCCCACCTAGTAAATGGATTCTATGCCAATCGTATAAGTGGGGATCTAATATCAGCGGCCAATTCACCATGGTGAAGCACGGATCCTAACCTTATCAGCCCCCATAGTCATTGTCGTCCCAGCCTCAGGAATTGGGTGGCATTGCGGCCTACAACCACAGCTGTCCCACGGTAACGGGTGCTGACATCATGCGTCAGGTGGGAACCGAAGCCCAGGTGACTGTCTGGTCACAGAAGCAGCGGAAGACGCTGGGCTGCGACGGGGCGGACTACGACGCGCTAGATCTGCGACCTGGACATGAAACTAGCGCGGTTGGTGGGGATTCATGGGGATTTCATTGGGATGAATACTGACTAGTGGGATTTAGTGGGAATATGATGGGAATATCATGAGGTATCATAAGGTTACCTTATTTTCCAGCAATCAACCATGGCTAGGCTGGCGAGCGGGAAAAACAATGCGACCTCACGGCCGAAACATGCCGAAACGGCCGGATGTAGGAGGACCCCCCTGAGATGACATGGGATCACTAAGTAACCAAATTGATGTCAAGAGAAATATGTTCGGTTACTGATATTGTTACTTAGTTAACATGAATATTGTTAGATTGATGTTAAATATCAATGTACTATGTTTTTGTTATTGATGTTTGGATGATATTGACTGATATTGTAGAATCAAACTGTCCTCACAAGTAATGGATGCTGGAGCTTGGTGCTTGATGTCTCGTAACCTGTTTCGATTCTGAAATAGTTAATTAATAATCAACACCCTGGTATGTTCGTGACCATCCAAAAGTTGGAGTGGCCATTTACCCGATTTACCCCAATAGCAGAGCATCGCCACATCTTCCGGTTGCGATTTGAACGGGTCAAGCCCCGAGTCGCTTCTGACATCACCGACGCCCGAAAAAAAGGACTAAGAGCCATGAATGATGCGAGATCCAAGAAATCCAATGTATTCCAATGTCTAATCTGTTTCTCAAACGAAGCCATCTCTGCGAGGAATGGCAAGCCTTGCTTTGAGAGTTTCTTCATGAATGGCATCGAGGATCTACCTTTGTTCTTGATCCACACTGTTTCGGCCAGCAGCATTGGGATCAAAGCATCCCTACTTTCCTGCAAGATCATACGAGGCTCGTGGTTCAGTTTTGAAGGTTTGCAAGTGTTGCATCCAAATACCCCATGATATTGTTGAATCATATTGAATTGCGGATGGGATACTATACTTGGAGGATCATCCCACTTAGTAACTGGTTTAAACACCCTGCTTGGATTATCCCACGCCTGAATAGGGTGCTGCTACTCAGTTATCAAGTGGCGTTGTCCCCCCTAGGACAGTGTGGTGTTCATCAAATGCACGAATCAAAGAAATTCAAAGTGTAAACACCTGATTTGTGAATGTGCCATGTGGGAACACTGATTGAATGTTTCCATTCAATATATAGGTTCATTTTTTCTTCCAGGCAGATGTCAAAATATGGCACCCACAAAAATCCAATGATTTCTCATTGTTTCTCTTTTTATTTGATCACCATATATCACCATCAAGTTTGGGGCTCATTCCGATTTTGAGACAACCCCAGATGGTTTTCCTGAAACAAGTTTGTTTGAGCAAGCTGTTGCGGCAACTGCAACATCGCAGAATCTTCCAACAACTTCCAATATATGTACATGTATATATATATATATTTGTAAATATATAATAATATATATATATATATAGATAGATAGATAGATAGATAGATAGATACTAATATATATTTATATATATCCCAACATTGTTGTGTTTGGGATGTTCACCAGGGATCGCCAGGGATCGAACCCTCACCCAAGATGTGTTTGTGTGTGCGCCTTATAAGTCTAATATGTATATGTATATATATATATGCATGTATTATGTAATTATGTATATATATATTATTATATTATATTATATTATATCATATTATATTGTATTATATTATATTATATTATATATATATATATATTTGACATAATATGCATCATGTGCATTCATATCTCAGCATGGCATCACTCCAGCCTTTTTCCCGAATGCGTAGTCAGGGTTCCCGTTTCACTCTGGGGGTCTGGGGGTTGAGGGTGTGTTCGCTCGACCTTGCGTTTATGTTCGCAACCGTTCGCGACCGTTCCCAACCGTCCGCAACCATCCGTGCAAGCCCCGAATGGCCGTGCCTTTGGTAAGTTCTGCACTTTGGGAGGTTGCACATGTCGCGTTGCTTCGTTTCGCATGGCAGGCGTGGCACTTCGTGACGTTCAGACGTCTTTTGTAACGCGTGGAAAGTTGTTTTGTGTGGCAGGCATAATACTTTTGCGACGTTTTCAGAAGATGCGTTGCTTTTTCGTGGCAAGCGCAGCACTTTGGACGTGTCCATGGTCATTTTGCGTAGCAGGCACAGCACTTTATACTTGTCGTGTTACGTGTTTTTTGCGAATCGCAATGTCAGGGCCGAATCAAGTGGCGACAAGGTGCAAATCCGTGGCAGGCGTAGCATTTTGTGAGATGTGATATTAAATTGGCGAAAGCCTCGCACGAAACATCGATTTTGAGGCAGCAAATTTGGAGGTCTCGTAGGAACACATTGATTTTGAAGCTACAAAGTGTGAAAATCGGGAAAAGTCTCTGGTTTTCCTGTGGCCTCGCCGTGTCTATGGGGGAAGCTGCAAAACCTCTCCTTTTCGAAGGTTTCCAAGCAGGTTGTCATGTCGTTTTGCGTGGCAGGCGCGGCACTTTGTGACATTCTCACGTGTGTGCAAAAAGTGTCGAAAGTCGTTTTGTGTGGCAGGCGCAATACTTTGGTGTAGTTTTCAGAAGATGAGTTGCATTTTTTGTGGCAGATGCAGCACTTTGGAGACATCCATTGTCATTTTGCGTGGCAGGCGCAGCACTTCAGACGTGTCGCGTTGCGTGCTCTACACTCCACACTCTACACTTTACACTTTACACTCCGCACTCTACATTCCACACTTTACACTTTACACTCCACACTCCACACCCTACACTTTACACTCCGCACTCCGCACTCCACATTTTACACTTTACACTGCGCTCCACAATCTACACTCCACACTTTACACTTTACACTCCACACTTTACACTCCACACTCCACTCTTTACACTTTACACTTTACACTCCACACTTTACACTCAACACTCTACACTCCACACTTTACACTCCACACTCTACACTGCACTTTACACACTCCACACTCCACACTCTACACTTTACACACCACACTTACACTCCACACTCTGCACTTCACACTCCACACTTTACAGGTTACACTCCACACTCTACACTTCACACTCCACTCTCCACACTTTACACTCCACACTCCACACTTTACACTCCACACTCTACATTTTGCACTCTACACTTTGCACCCCACACTTTACACTTTACACTTTGCACCCCACACTCCACACTTTACACTTTACACTTTACACTCCACACTCTACACTCCACACTCTACACTTTACACTCCACTTTCCACCTTACACAGTACACTCTACACTCCACACTTTACACTCCACACTTTACACTCTACACTGTGAACTCCACACTCCACACTCCACACCCTACACTTTACACTCCGCACTCCACACTCCACATTTTACACTTTCCACTACACTCCACAATCTACACTCCACACTTTACACTTTACACTCCAGACTTTACACTCCACACTCCACTCTTTACACTTTACACGTTACACTCCACACTTTACACTCAACACTCTACACTCCACACTTTACACTCCACACTCTACACTGCGCTTTACACACTCCACACTCTACACTTTACACACCACACTTTACACTCCACACTCAACACGCTACACTCTACACTTTGCACTCCACACTCTACACTTTACACTCCACACTCCACACTTTGCACTCCACACTATACACTCCACACTCCACACTTTACACTCAACACTCCACACTATACACTCCACACTTTACACTCCACACTTTACACTCCACACTTTACACTCCACCCTTTACACTCTACACTTCGCACTCCACACTCAACACTTCGCACTCCACACTCGACACTCTACACTTTACACTCCACACTCTACACTTTGCACTCCACACTCCACACTATACACTCCACACTCCACACTTTACACTCCACACTCCACACTTTACACTCCACACTTTACACTTTACACTTCACACTCTACACTCCACACTCTACACTATACACTCCACTCTCCACACTTTACACTCCACACTCCACACTTTACACTCCACACTCTACATTTTGCACTCTACACTTTGCACCCCACACTCCACACTTTACACTTTACACTTTGCACCCCACACTCCACACTTTACACTTTACACTCCGCACTCTACACTCCACACTCTACACTTTACACTCCACTTTCCACCTTACACTGTACACTCTACACTCCACACTTTACACTCCACACTTTACACTCTACACTGTGAACTCCACACTCTACACTCCACACTTTACACTTTACAGTCCACATTACACTCCACACTCCACTCTTTGCACCCCACCCTCTTCCGCATTCCACAGTCTACAGTTCACTGGTACGGTAGCAGGGGAAAAATGTACATGACTGTCCCAATAACTGGTTTCACAAAAGTGTTCTACGTGACTGCATTCGGTTCTTGGGCTGCATCTTGTTTTCCATGTCCAGGATGGTATGGGAAGCACATCCAGCTGGCCCATCTCATCAATGCTGGTTTGTAGCTGGAAAAAGCATCGAACTAAATATCTAGTGTTGGGGGATGTTCCATGTTTGAGTACCAGTTTGGGCATTTCCCACTTCCATCCTCCACGGCAGACGGGAAAATCCTGGGCGAAGCCAGTGCTGGAGCAAACAACAATGGTTGGGCCTTCACACTCAGGCGTGGGGGCCCGGAACATGTGGCATCAATGGAAATACTTCAAGCATTCCAGAAAACTCATCAGGTAAGTTTGGAACATGTGTTTTGGACGATGGGGATGCTTAAACCTATCTTAACCATTTTTAAGCACCGTTTTATTGAGGATTGGGGATATATCCATATATATATATAATGCCCAGTGCATCTTAAATCCATATATATATATATATATAGAGAGATATCATTTTTTGGGGAACACCGATTGTTAAATCAGTGGTCTTCCAGCTTCCATCCGGACATTGGGTCCTCCATTGGTATTTTCTTTGCAACGATGTTTCCTGTTCAAGGGTGTTCTCCCCCAGGGATGAGAGTAACGCACATAACAAAATCCTTTTAAGGAACTTTGATTTTGCTATCCCTGTGATACCGGTACTTTGTTCCTCACCGAATTGCTGTGGAAAGAAAAAGGTTCCGTCGCTGTGGGGTTCCGGCGGAGTATGTTCATGAAATTAATGATGATTCATGATTTAACTTTGAAGTGGATTCGGAACTATGCATGGGTATATCTTGTTCACCAAACGATGTACAGTGTTTGGTTTATCATTTATGGGTATCTCAACCTTGTTGACTTGGTGCGTCGCAGAGTTGTGTTTATGTTTGTTTCAATGTTTATGTAGATACATTGAGTATTTTATATTCTCGTAAGTTGCCGGTAAGCAACACTGACAATTTGGTTTGACGGGTTCCATGATTGGTGATGATTGTTGACAGATTTTGTTTTGATTGCAGATTCATGTATCCTCTGACTCTTGATCAATATCTCCACAATTTTGTTACTATATATCTAAGAATCTAAGAAACCCTTTTGGTAAGTCCCACATGTTTCTCAAGGAAGATGATGAATTGACTTGGGATGTCGCTGGTGAATCTGGCAAGTAAGTGTTCAAATTAAAGTTGCGCTTGGAATATTTGCGTAGCCTTGCCAAAATTGTGGCTAAAATCACTTCAATTATATATGAATGTAAATTAAACCTGGAAGTCCAAGGTTTCTTTCAGAATGATACGTATCATGAAAGAATTGGGATGCGTCCAGGTAAAATCTATTGGAAACCATCCCCGTGAAACATCGCATTTTCCGCAAAAAGAATCAACCATGAACCTACTTGGATGGCATCCCACGTTTGTAAGTGGTTTGTAGCCGCAAAAATCGAAAGGAATATACAATCATACGTATACCCCAGTTGGATATGGAATATCCTCACTGTCTAAAGCTTGTGGACCAACCGTAGCGTTGGGGTCCCGTGCGTCCAAGTAGCATACCAGCATTATTGGGATGATTTGACGGAATAAGGAACTTCCCATGAAATATCGTCGCATTGTGGTAATATGTCTTTTATATTGTTTTATGTTGACATGTCAGGGCAAAAAAGACACCTATTATGACATGAAATGTCCCGTCAAACTATAGGCAACTCCTGGAGTATGCTGGCAACTATTCTCTGGATGACATCAACGAGGGCAATGTGGTGGACGTTCGGCCAGGGACATTGATCCGACTACGCCACACGGGTTTTATCCTGACTTTGCGCTTCCGCGATCTGGTGCTGATTGGTGGGGTGTGTATTGTGGGGCCTGAACTACCAGATGGGACAGCAAAGTTGCATTCAAATGAAGTAAGAAAATGGTGGTTGGATGAAACTTAATGTTGTAACATGTCAATTTATTCATTCATCAACCCAAAGGAAAGGGGATTTCAGGGTCAAAGATGGGTATTTCAGCAGGAAACAATGCAATTCAATTCAATGTGTAAAACTGGCTGAACAGTCGTGAAACTAGGGAAGGGCCAAGACAATGGGGCATAAGTACAACCCAAACCGAAACCATTGTCCGCGGCGTTATGATGTGTCCATGTGCTTCCTGGCTGAAGAGTGGTATGGTGAAATTGTACGCCCAAGAAAAAACTGCAATATTGATAGGATAGCACCATCAAGTGGGAATGATTGATATTTCACCACAACTGAGTATCTAATTTGGAAACAGACTTCATGAATGGTTGATTAGTAGACGGATAATGTAACCTCGAGGCATTC